AGCTCTGCCCGGGCTGGGCAGCTCCTGCTGATTGACATTCTGGGGGACCCACCCCGTCCTGTACTGGCTGGATGCATCTCTGCATAGCCCACGCTGGGACGGCAGGGAAGGGAAAAAGCCACCAGGCAGGGCGAGTAGTTTCACTTCTTGCAGCGGCAAGGTCTAGAGTTTCTTCCGTCCTGGAGCTACTTTACTCGTGTGTTAGGCTTGGGCAGCTCTTGCCAGCAAACACTCCCCTGGATGCAAGAGTCAATTATAAAATCCATTGCGGTAAATTCCTCTTCCTTTTGCTCCTCCTTTCTCTTTAAAGGGAAAGCAGGGTCTATGATGGTGCTAGGAGGGGGTGCTGCCGAGGGGAGGAGGAGGTTCCTGCACCCAGAGATTTGAGGTGGCGTGGGAATTAGCACACTGACCTTAAACGTTGAGACACCGCAGATCCTTTCTGGAGCAGCCTGGAGGAAAAAAGGAATGACCTCATCTGAGTTGGAGGCGTATCTGAGGCTCTCTGCCAGCTCGCAGCCAACCAGATCTCAATGAAAATTGCAGGGAGCCTGTTACATCAGCAAAGCCCAGCATGCCCCTGCCTTTCCCAATACTGTCTTCAGCCGTATGGGAACCATCCCGTCCAGGAGAGGAGCTCAACTCTCTTTGTCAGGAGTGGAAGGATGAGACCTTAGAGCTGAAGCCCTTCAAATGACTTGTTACAGGGATGCAGGAGGATTTGTGGTGGGGGCAGGTGGCATGAAAGGAGATCGAGCAGGTGTCCTATATGGCCAAGTACTAGCCCCAGAGAGCCAGAGATGAAAATTTTCCCCCACTTGGTGCCCAAGGAGACCAGGATCTGTTTCACCTAAACTGCATGTATTTGCATTTTGCAAGGGCAGAGCCATGGCTCAGGCCCGGTCATGTGGGATCGTCATTTCCTTGGGCTAGTCAATTTCTGGCACAGGATGCAGCCCGTCCTGGGAAGGCAAAGGAGTCCTGAGCTGCACAGCAAGGGCCAGGGCCACGCCCTGACCTGCCTCCCAGGCCCCTCTAACCAACTCAGCCCAATTTCCCTATGAGGTGCCTTTAACCATCTGGCTGCAGTGTCCTGGGGCATGCAAGGAGCAGTGTGAGCAGATGGGAAAGGATGCCTCCTCTCCCTTACCATCTCAGAGTCCAGATACTGTTCAGGGAACAGATTTATACCGAATCATCATTTTAAAGCTGTGAAGCAACAAAAGGCTCTCGCTGCAAGGGGCTAAGTACCATCATTCATGCCTTAACCTCTAAGGAAAACCCTGTGCTGAATCCCACAGGCCCCTAACTAACTGTCAAAGCTACCCTGAGATTACTGGTTTTGGGTGCAATACCTCCTGTATCTGTGTTGCTGTGGTGATGATTTAAAGGTACAAGCAAGGGAAAGGAGAGGGAATAGCTGATATTAGACCAACTGATTCAGCTGAAAAAGAACAGCAGTACATGAGCTCTACCCACAATTTATCTACATGCTTACTTGCTAAATTAACTCCAGTGTCTGCTGTGACCATATTCACTAAAATAAATGAAGACACTTAAAACAGGTCCACATTGCAGGGACAGACATCTGTAAATACTTATGATTTTGGAAAGGTGACAGACAGGCACAAGCTTAGACATTTTTGTCCTAAAAATATTTTTTAAATAATCACCTAGGATGAAAAAAATAAAAAAAAACAGCTATAGATAAAGACAATTCTACTTTCAAATTTGAGAGATAGAAGAGGAAAAAGATATAAAGCTAAAAGCTTGTATTTAAACTCATCTTCTTGCTTTAGAAGATCAAAGCCAGACTAAATGTGCATTTGCTATTTAGAGGACTTTTCTTGTAGACAGTAAATGTCACTTGCACACTAAGACCTGGATTCACTCCACCTAACTCGAAACATATAACTGTGAGAGCTACACCATGAATGTGTATCCCTATAGATAGGGAGGCTCCCTATAGATTCACGGAAAGAAGCTATTCCACAAGGTGACTTAGCCTCATCAGTGCTCTGAGCGAACCTTTGAAGGATCCTCTTTCTATCTCACTACATGTTAGGAGACATGTGGTCTCTTTGTGACTCCAAATAGAAGGGATCAGTCTGGATATAAACATCCTGACATTAATTTAAACTGTTTAACAGTAATCTAAACTCCTTACAAAGCTTGCTTTGTTTTGGACTGTGTTGAAGTGTTTCATGGACAAGTCAGACTACTTCAGTTTATTAACTGGTACCCGCCTATTTCTGGTGCATGAGTACAATTCTGTAGCTAACCCTGCTGTCAACAGGCACTCCAGTCCAAATTGAAAGTTTAATGCTTTTACAGGGCAAAATGAATTGCAAATGCAGAGGTGCAGGGGAATTCCTCTTAGCATTGGTTAGAGTAGCTGGAACTAGAGCTTCAGGATCTGTACAATCTTCAATAATTATCTGATATATTGGCCGAGGCTGTAGCTGAGAGACAAAGAACAGCATTTCAGCCACCTCCTTCAGGTTCCCAGTTATCAAAGTAGCTGTGCTGGACGCTATAAGGATTTCTGTGACATTCCTCTAGAGACAAGAACAAAAGAACAGCAGTGCAAGAGAGAACTAATGGATGTGTTAAAGACGGTGGTGGTATGCAAGGATTTGTCTATGTGCATTGCTGTTCATGAATTCTAGTTCAAATTAACACCTTTCCTTAATTTACTGTCACATACTTTAAAAGGCCCCTTAGCAACCCAATAGACAATGGGGCTTTCAAACATGTTTCACAGCTGGGCTGCCAAGTTTAAACTTCAAGACACATAATAGTCTTCTCTTCACATCAGGTACGCCATCTCTGGCTGTCCGTTATGCTTTTTGACAACTTCTCATTTTGGATTCTGTATAGTGCTTTTGCCCACATCAGGTTGTCACTATTATCCTATTCTTCGTACATTAGCCAAGACTCCATCCTTTTTAAAGAAGTATAAAATGGCCTTTTAAAAACTAGAAATAGTATTTTATCAGGTCCCTGAGGAAGGTGGAGGGTGTTCTGGAATGCAGAGAGAGTTGCATTGCTCTTCTTCCATCTACAATAATAAATCACCTCCCTGGTGGATACTGGAGCTTTGTAGCCTTGCTCCTAGAGGGTCACAGGAGACATTTTGATTGAAAAAGTTATGTCACTTCCACCTGAGAAGTTCACACAGAACATGGAGCTCACTGATTTCTGGTCTGATTGTCAACTGTGGTATGTGGGAGAAACTGGGGACAGGAAAGCAGCACAGGAAACTTTCAGCCAGCAGAGGAGAAGGGTTGTGCTGAGCCCCGTATAAGGCAACATGTGAAATCCTGTAGCTCCAGACTGCACCACAGAGGGAAGGAGAAGTAGTTAGCCTGGGTGTTTCAACCATTTAAAGGATTTTATCCAAGACAATGGGGATTTGTAGCTGAAAGCTAAGTGCAGGCTAGTAACTGAAGGAAGCAAAATTAATGTTTGCATAGAATTCATAGAGTCACTCTTGATTATGCATTTTGTCTCTCTTCTCATTGCAGCTGTATTTCCCAACTTGTGAATCTTCGGTCATTTGAGACAGCGAGCAGCAAGAGCTGGCTGCTCCCAAAGGGAGCAGGTTACTGAGGGACCTGGTTACTGAGCACAATAACACTGCTAGCAGGGCAGATACCTCACTAGCCCGAGCCCATCCTACTGCCCCTGAGCTAAGTGAACAAGGCAGACCCAGAGATGGTAGTAGCCAGGTTCAACCAAGACTCTAAATAATCAGGCAAGTTTGTAGTGATGACGCAGGTCCCAGGTCAAGCGAGGAAGTCAGCCTGCAGGTCAGGGTAAGGATCAGGTCCAGTGAGGGTAATCAAGGTCAGACACAGCCCAGTGATTGCCAGTCAGGTCTGTAGTGATGAGATAGGTCTGAGGTAAAGCCAGGAAGTCAGTCTTTAGGTTGGTGTCCAGATCATCAGGCTCAGGCACAGGCATGGCTGTGGGTGAGCTGGAGACCAGCACTCCTACAGTGTAGCTCAGGCAGGGGATTGGGTGCCTCAGCCTGAGCTTAAATAGAGCTCCTAGGCCAATGCGCAGGGGTGGGGGGAGGCCCCAGGTGAGGTTGGTCAGGGCCAGTAAGGCCTGTTAGTACATTCAGAGCCCTGACAGTTTGGACTGTTACCACCCCTGTTCACCTAAAGCAGCACTGTCAACCTACAGTCAATCAACACTCATAGAAACTTTCAGCCTGGAAAGTGGGATGAAAATGCTGAACATACATGTTCATTCTGACACTCAGGACTAGGCAAGTAGTTATGAACATTATTACTAATACAAATTCATGGCACGTTACAAATAGTAATGGCTCCAGAGCAGCCAATGCTTGCAGTTAAAAGGCAGATTACACAGTAACCATAATTTGCATTGTATATTACAGAAACTAAAGATTTTTTGTTTCAGAATTTTTTAATCAGCAACATCCTCAGATTATTTACTTGCATCAAGTTACAATAATGTTTAGAAACTGTAGGCAAGAGCAGGGTCCCTCATTACTAGACCCTGTATGAACACAAAGGAAGATCCTGTACCTGCCCAGT